AAAATACATTTTTCTCGTAGCTAACAAAGACACTACAGTATCCCCTCTGGCATAAACAAAGAAGGACTCGTAGTAAGCTTTCCTATGTTCATAAGGTACCTCCATGTCCTTGCCTAGTTTTAGTGGAAAAGTATAATATTCTTGTATCGAAAATGTTGAAAATAATAAACGGTAATTCTCTTCCGCTATTTGCCTTTTATTGAAACTGTTTTTTCTTCCGCCGTTATTTTTCAATGTTTTCCCACCCGACAAAGAGTTGCGTTTCTTGAGTCCCCCATTTAAAACTGTTTTTTTTCATCCGCCTGTACAATCACTTCACGTTTTCTCACACGTTTTTTAACTTCTCTTCAAGCAGATCACAAAAAAAAACAGATATTTCCAGGAAATGAGCAAAGTTATAATAATAAACATGTCAAAAAATGTGTACTCATAATGAAAACCTTGCTACATTTCCGCTAAAAATTCAGCAAAAAAAAAGAGCCAAAAGTAACGAAAATTTGAAAGGCAAACAGGTGAAACATTAATAAAAAGCATGTTATCAATATCACATCATGAAAACATGTGATACAAAAGTTTAGCACTCCTTTACAGAGGTCAGTCGGATAACCTTCTGGCGCATCTGCATAACACACTGGCAATGAGCCAAAGCCGTTGGAGTTTCTCCAGAAGAAGGGTTCTTTGGTAGCAAAAATTTTCAGATCGAATTGGTGTGGATTCGCCTATATGTAATAAGGACTCGCATTACACATTGTATACTATGTACCGTACAACATCATATACTATACATATTGTATACATAATTTTAGGCTGCTATGTCAGCGCCGAAAAGTTCGTTCACGCCTGATTCGCGCCAAATGTAGGCGAAAGCAAGATTTGAAACCAAACTTTGGCGGCAGAGCAGGAGATGGATCGTTTCGCTCGGCAGCTGCACGTTACTCCCAGTACTTCGAAATTGGAGGTTCTTACTCCGAATGAGAAGAAAAGGATTGTGAAGGTTGAAAGGGAGCGGCGTCGCTTGATAAGGTGCAGTGAACTTACGATGCTTACAATAATTATTTATTGAAGTTTGAACTCCCGAAGATTATTTGCAGATATGTCCAGGTTCGTCAGCAAAGCAGCCAAAATGCCTTGAAAATTCGAACAAAAGTGAAATTCGAAAAACAAAAAGAATTATCATTATTGAAACAAGAACTTCGAAAAGAAATAAGTCGTCGTTCATATCTGAAGCCCATTTTATCGCCGGTACAGCTGAATTTTACCGGGAAGGTTTGATGAATTTGTACACGTTTCGCTTTCCTAATCTGTTTAAGTCGAGTTCTTGCTGGAAGTGTGGTTTCCTCAAGAAAAATTATTCCTGGCACTCACCGGGTTTACTGGCGTCTGATTTCTGTGGCTTTGTTGTTTAGTAACTGATTTTTGGTTGTTTTCCGAAAAGTTTTTAAGGTTTTTTTGTGGTCACTATTTCTAAAACCTTTTGTCGGAAAATTTCAAGTTTGCTTTGACGAGTTTCACTTTAAGCATTTTTGAAATTACACCACTAATGTTTGCATGCCTTATTACTTTCTTGGCGTACTGGCTTAGTGCACAGCAGATGAAATATATAGAAGTTGGAACAGTTTTTGACGCTTATCTTTCATCTTATAGCCAGTAGAAATTCTGTCTACCAACTTTTGGTGGCCAAGGTTTTTTAAAACAATATGGCAACATTAGCCACACTAGATTTGCTTTTAATTGCCTAATCAAGCATAGAGAGTGTTTTTTTTACTGGTTTAGTGGTCGTCAAAAAAAATTTTGGTCGTGGACGGAGTTGCATTTTCGCTTTCATGAGAAAGTCGTGAATTTTTTTAATCAAAATCAGCAGTGGTCGTAGAAAATTTTAAGAAGCTAAGAAGTCCCATTCAGGAGGGTTTTAAGATTTGTCGGAAGGTTAGTTTAAGCAGTTCCATGAACGGAACTTAGGTTTATTGGTTTGCTAGAAAACCAAGTTTAGGACGAAGTGGAAGTACTGAGTGGTCGCAACGGATTTAGAGAAAAAAGTATATTTGTTGTCTTGGTGGCGCAAAACGAAAAGGACAGTCATAAAAAAATCGTCATTTTGTGGTATTTTTTGCTGCAATATTACAATATTACAATGATCGTCTGTGCAGGTTGATTGAGTTTTTTACTTATAGTGGTTTAAACATCAGTTTCAAAAAAGTGGGTTGCTTCAGAGTTTTTTGGAATGAGGAAAGTAAAGTCTTTGTTATTTTCGGAGAAGATCTTGAGGTAGATTTAAGTTAGTAAGAGGTGGGACAAAAAGGTGCTCTTTTGATAGTTATTGATTTTTAAGGACGAAACCATGTTTTTTGGAGCCATAAACTGCTCACTTCACGGTTATTTGAATACCGATGGCTTCTGGTTAGGCGCTATTAGGGTTTTATCTGTAGTAAAAGGTTATCCGTGAAGAGGAGCAGTTATCTTCTTTGAGGGTCAGCTTTTTTGAAGTTTTTCAATTTTTTGTGTGTTAGTGTTTTAGATGTTTTATTTTCTGCTTCATGAGTTTTAGAAGTGTCGTTGAACGTTAGATAAGTGCTTTAACCTTAGCTTAACATCAGAAATCATTATTAGATGAATAAAAGTCAGTTATGAAAATTAGTTTTGGGAAAATCATTAAGTCTTGTTACAGATTTTTTGTTCTGCTCTTCCTATTATTTTATCTAAAAAGGGTATTCAGGGTGTACTGCGCAGACTGCATGCTTTCATTGATATATTCAGTTTGAGAAAGTGGTTGAATGCTGTCGCAGTAGCACAGTCGAGAAGGTCATTTTGAACGCACAAAGATATGTCACTTTGAATTTCTTTGAAAAATATCTTTCAAGGGAATTATCATTATTAGAAGAATTTAAGATTAACGTTTGACTTGTAGATTTTGCGGATAACAGCGACGAACTAAATATAAAACTCAATGTAGTAAAGTAAATTATCATTACTTTAAAGAGGTCGGTGCTAGTATCATAGAAGACCAGATTTTAGGAAGATATTCAAAAATTTTTGAATTGATGCTAAACTGCAAGCTGCAGCTTTCGGATTATGATTTTCTTGAAAGCCGATCTTACGGGGCAGCCCGGCCATTTTTAATTCCTATTAAACACAAAAAAATTTAGACCAGATAATTTCAGCATGGCAAGTATAGAAATAGGCGAGAATTTTCGCCATAACTAGTTTTTGACATTAGGAGTGTATCATCAAACATCTGAACTTTTCTTAACTGAAGATCACTGGACTAAGTTGGTTTAGTATAGTCAGAAAAAAATTTTTTTTCTGGTTGTGGTTCTTAACAGTTACTACATTCGTGGGCTTTAGCATTTACTTTAATAAACGAACTATTGCTTTTTTGAGCTCTTCTTATGTAGCTTGTAAACTGTGTTAATGTTTATGTATTTTGCCTCCTGCAACGTTATCGAATGAGACTGGTAAATAATTTCAACTTTATTTGGCAGCTTTTTTCATTTTTGTTCCTTTTAGCTTATATCACCTCCGCGACGAGGAAGTCGCAAATTAACCGAAGAGGAAAATCGTTTAATAGAGGAGAGGAGCAGAGAGGCTTTACAGAAAATAAAGAAGCAAAGGGAGGAGCATCGAGTCAAGTTTGAAAAAGCGAATGAATTGAAACGAAAAGCAGTTAGAGAGGCAAATTTCCGCTCAAAACCAAGCCCTCAATGAAATTCCGTTTTTCAAATTGTATTTTTTACTGAAGTTATTTACTTTGTTACATTTCACCTGGTCCGCATTTTACAGAAACGAGTCTGTAAAATGTTGAAGCTTTGTTGTATTATGCTGTGTTCTAGGGTAATAATTTGTTTCTCAAGCCAGTATTATACCTCATTCTTCTGTTTCGCTATGAATGTAACTGAGCCAAGTTTTACAGCTCGTGAAGATTTTAATTTCTCAGCTTTCTGGCTTTAAAATATATTAGTTTCACAAAAAAGGAGTAGTTTTCAGTAGCTGTTCTCTGGTTAAAGTTTGTTTAATCTCTTTTCTTTCCATAACTTTGTTTGTATTTTACATTATCTGGATATGCATAATTAGCTGAAGTGAGTTCAAAGATTATTTTTAGTTTAACTAGTAAATAGCGAATTTGGTGCTATAACGGTGCAGATGTATTATCCAAGGTTTGGGTGCGAAATAAAACTAGGCGTTTCTGTTAAAGTTTCCCTCCTAGGCGCAAATGGGTACGATGGGAGGGTTTAATTTCATGCGAAGGGAGTGTTGGGTTAGGTTGCCCTGAGATAATGTTAGCGCGTTTTTTCACCTACTAGAAATTTGCATTTTGCATGCAGAAACGTGGTCGAAATTAAAGGCACTGTTATGTGAATTTGCAGCCTTTATAGTTGGTTAACAAGTTTACAAATTCAAGTGAAAGTCACCAGATATTAGAAGAAAGATTAAAACAACGAAATATAGCTACGGAAGAGATCTGATTGTTGAGCAGTCTAAACAGTTCTAATTGGTGTTGCACGTGAAACGGCTACCAAATGAGGCACGTCGTGGTATTCTCTCACATACGTCAAACGTTAACCGTAAACAAGAAATCTCGTTCTCGTAAAGCAACCAGGGTAGATAATCTTCCCTGAAATATTGGATTCGTTAGCACTGTTAACTGAAAGCGTAGCGGCACAAAAATCCTCAGAAAAGAAATTGTGCAGGAAGTAAAGACTGGTCGATGTGCACGCTACTCTTGAAAGCAGTCTTAAAATATGACGAGGGAAATATGTTAGGATATACTTATGCCAAATGTCCTTCCTATATCCGATGTACCACTGCCGGAATCGATCAAACTGGCCGTTGTTGACGTCCCACGTTCGCCGTCTTTCCTCTAGTTCTTTCATGACACTTTCTTCAATTTGTGCCTCTTTTTTCAGCTTTTTTTGCATTATTGAGGCTGATGCATTATATGCTAATTTCAGCTTGGCTACTACAGTACCCTAAATGGAGTAAGTTTTTTAGGTAAAATGAAGTCCATATCTTCCACATGTGTGTGTATGTCTTAAATTTAAATTACCACTGACATCGGAGGTGCGCCAATAGGTTGAACTCTTTTTTTCTAAAAACTTTTATTAGCTACTTTTATGTGTAATTTTAGTGATTGTGACCAAACATTTTAGTAAATGAAGTATTCTTAGCTAAAAACTGCAGATACAAGTGTGTTTGAGAAGCAGAAATTTGATTGAAAGTAAAATATTAATCAAATTATTTTGATTTAAATAAGGTGTTAATGCTCTCTTTGTAAACCTCCAAAAATATAGTTCTATTTTTTTTCTTTCTTAAAGGCACAAAACGCACATAACCAATTTGTTGAAGTGATGCGAAAGCAGATCGGTAATCAGAAAGTTTATCTCCTTGGAAAAAATCGAACTGACAATCGTTGTCGGTATCAAAGGCACTCCAATCATTGAAGCAAAATTCCTTCCTGTAAAACAGACATGATGGAAAGTTCTTCATCCTCCGTTTCTTCGCATCAGTCTTTTTCTAATTATCATTTACAAAAAAACTTATCTGATTGAAGAAATGGAGTTAAAAATTTTTAAACTAAATAAGAATTTACAGTTTTATAATACAGCAAGTTAGCTATTAAATAATGCACTAATAATCGAATAATAACTAGTGAGAATTTCCAAAAGTTCTGTAGATACCTGAAAGTATATAGACCTGGATGGGACGGGCAGTTGATGCCACGAAGTTGATCAGATAATGTTGAACGTGATCTCGACGTCTCCAGTTCATTAAGACTTTCACATATATCGCAGTAATAGCTGGAAATTATAAGAAGTAGCATGTAAAAAATCGCATAATTTTTTATGTAACTACATACAGTTTTATTCATAAACATTCAGTAATTGGGTGTAACTCCGCTTATTCCGCTCATTTTAAAGGTGGAATTGCTCAAGAAACCTTTACTGTTATTGGTTATCGTCGTTTAAAGTATCTTAAGTATAAGCAATAAAATATTTAAAGTAAGAATCTGGAATAGTTCGCAAAACGATAGGACAATATCCATAAGATAAGAGATCTCTTATCTAAAGAATTATTTTTTATAGTTTATTGTTACGTCCATAAATTGCATTTCTCAGTTAGGTCTCACTAGTTCAATGATTCCAAAAGATGTTAAGTGAAACAGATCCAGTGCCTGGTGAAAAAGGGAAATATCCTTTAAACTTATCTGCCCAAGATGCAGCACTAAAATCACCCCATTTTTTTGATTACTCTCTCTGAAAAAGATTTCACAAAGTAAGCTTTTATGGCGTATGTGCTGTGAACTAATAAAAAGTTTGCACTGGGTTTTTTTCACCCATTAAAACATCAAGTTAATACTGTTGAATAATTTTTCTTCAAAATACTCAGAAATCAACTTAAAAATAGCAATATTCATGCTGCTGATCATTGGTAACAATAAAGCTGTCGGTATTAAGAAGTACAAACCAGTTGTTGCCATAACCTCCACAACCATTGTTGCTTGCATTTTGACATTTTAAATCTGCGAAGTCTTTGATATTCCACCATTGATATTCTGCTTTTGCAAAAAAGCTGTTGCCAATAACTTCTTTATTGTCCAAAATTCGAACATTTTTAATTTCAACGGTAAAACAACCAGGTAATTTGACCACTTCTGGATGTATCAATACTTGTTGCGGGTCGATTTCTACTAGTCTTTTTGCCCCTGGACGTGCTGTAAATTCAACTACAATTAATACCGCAAAGTTTGCAGTAGATTTTTTTCCACTAATTAAAACACCAAATTAATACTGTCAAAAAAATAATTAAAAATTTTTTTCTTCAAATTTGTAACATCAAGAAAATAAAGTTGTAGTACTGCAACTATTTTTTTCCGCGCTTATGCTACATCCGTTACCAACTACTCTCTTTTATTGTTGACGTTGCAGTTTTTTTGAAGTGATGTCAACCACTTTTATTAACAACTTTCCGCTATCAAAAATAATAGTGTTTTATAGCATATATAAATATAAACATAGATTTTAGTACGAATAAATATATCTTTGAAGTAATGATTTATTCTGAGTCTCGCATCGACTTCAAGCAGTATATTTAATTAAATATTTAAATGTACCTTTGTTAGACAATAAAGAGTTTTTAAGAAAAAAGAAAGTAATTGTCAGCAAAAAAACTAAATGAATCTGGAATTGGAAAGTAAAAAACTGTTACAAAACTTTTTTGATGTTAATACTTACGAAGGTTATTTATTAATTGGTAAGACCACTATACGAATATGTTGACGTTTCTCGTTAGAAAGACCAATAATTTCCGGTCTAACCGCTTAGAACAGCAATCATTGTTGCTGCTGCTGTCATATCGACGGCAAAAAAAAAAAGACGAGTAAAAAAAGGAAGAACGTTAACTTAAATTGGGAAGTCGTATCACCCAATTGCATGGTGTAGAAAAATTATGAACTATATGCTGGTAAAGTCGCAATTGAACGGTTTTCATAAATGTTCATTAGAAGCTGCTCTAGTCAACAGTAACAGTGCCAAAACTTCACTCGCACTGCATGCTTATTAAATCTGAGCTTTTTTATATTCGAGCAAATAAGTAAGGTAAATAATGGATGTGATACTGTACAATGTAGAAACCAGTGGGTCATTTGAAAGTTTGTGGACCGTCATTACCTATAATCGAAATCAAACAATTCTTAATCACTTTATTTGTCCTTTCGCTACCAAAAACTAACAATGTTTTCAACATCTTTTTTTTTTCTCTCTTTCTTAAAGCATACAAAGGAAGGACAAGACTATTTCTTTAATAAGATTAACTGCTAAGCTGTATGCAGAAGAAGAAAATGTGTTTTATCTGCAAACTATTCTGAAAAAGTTACATGAAAAAAAAAAAAAACACAGAACAATGAAATCAAATGCTGAATTGAACAGCGAAAAGTTGACGTACAAGTGCATTTAAATTTTCAAGGTCCAGCAATCCAAATTTGAAATTTTTACTATTGCTGTGTTACTTAGTGCTAAATATTTGAAACGTTTCTCAGGTAATCATTTTTCCCAGAGATATCCGCTCTTAGTTTAAGTACTAACACGAGTACCTCATGCACCTGCTTGCAGTTAACTTATTTGAAATGTATTACCGGTTAGGAAAACTCAAAAGCTCTAACAACAATATTGATGATCATGTGCCAAATTACTTGCAGTTAATGGCTTTTTTTCATACAAAAAGAAATTCTAACGGGCTTCTTTGCAGTGCCTGAATTCCTCATTCAGCCCATGATTCTCCTACTTCTGACCCTAAATGGAAGCAAAAATGATAAATTGAAAAATTGTGAGAAAATTACGCAACAGGCATCAGCAAGGGCATCTTCATCATCATCATCATCTTCAGCAGCAACGACAACAATGAAAGTTGAGAACAACATAATAACAAAGGGGAGTCCCACTGAAAGACAATAATGACGTTAAGTGTAAAGTTAACCGGAAAAACTACAGAAATTATTGATTGTTGGAAGAGGACTTTTTTGTGTTGTTATCGAAAACTTGTTTTCATCGCTAGTTTTTTTTTATCCTTCTTTTTGTAATTGTTTGTATGTGAAATTCAACGTGTTCAGTGAACCATGTGAGAAAAAAGACACTTCATACCACTATTTAGACGTTCTTCAAACTCACCCGAATCAAAACAACTTACTCTAAGTTAGCAAAAAAGAAATGTTATATCAACGTATCCGTTTAAGATTTGAAAAAATTTCTTCAAACGACTATTACCTTTGTAATTTGGATTATGAAGATAAGCATATAAACTGTAAAACGCAGAATTCAACAAACACTAAACTACACTTAACTGTGGGTTAGCTGTCTTTTTATTTGCCGCCCGCATTTCAATAATTTAAGATCAAACTGTTGTTAAAGTGCACAAAAATAGTCTGCTCACAGCAAATAATTATAGAAGATGGAGTTTTATTTGTCCCTGGCAAAAAAAAAAAAAAAAAAATTCTCTTCCAAATAATCAACTATGACACTTCAGTTGGCAAAAGATAGTTTCAAAGGCAAGAAAGAAAGTATGTTTCTGTGTTGGTGTTTGCGTCTTCGGTTTAAATTATCATGTCTAATGCCAAAAAACTGGAATGAGTTTCTTCAATTTCCTGAAAAATAGACCGGTTTCAATACAGCTATAGAATCTGACGCCTAATAAAACAGGATTTTAGATTTTATCTAGAAAATAAAAAAAAAGAAAAAAGAAAAAAGAAAAAAACAGCAGTATGAAGACTTTTAAATGTAATACCAAAGAAAAAGAAATGCTTATTTGGTAGATAACAATAAAGTATTATACCAGTAACTTTAATTACTTTCTTCGATTCTGTGCTCTTCCTCACGCATTCTGGCCGAAAACAAAGCAGTTATATTTTCAAATTTATTTTGCTTTTCTTAATATACGGGCCAAAATTATAATGCTTCTAATCTAACGAGAATTGATTAAAATAACACGATTTCAGACTTTTGCATTCCTGCAGTTTTGTATTCTAAGAATAAACTCATTAAAATAAGCATCAAGCCCATTATCTTTTTTGACTAACAAATAAGCCTACAATTAAAAAATGGACCAAAAAAAAAAAATAAATGTTTTGAGAACGGGTAAAAAACTGTCTATGCGTTGGATTTAAAACGTACCTTAATGATACATTTGCTGTTCGATTCTATTGCATTATACCGAAAAAAGTATCCAGCAAAAAAAAGAACTATTTAGACAAGCATTTTTTAGTATTTCACTTTTTTTCCGAAAAGGTCTAAAAACCTGCTACAACTACAAAGAATAAGCAATAAGCCCCATACAGTGAATTTCGAATATAAAAAAAAAATATTAAAATTAAATTGAAATTAAAAAACTAATAAATTATAAAAGTATAGCAGCAAGGAAAGCAAGATGTCAAAAATGAAATTAATTGCATAACTGTATTTCAAAGTCATAAAAATTCCACTGGGTAAATCAGTAATCTTCTAAAATTTTTAAGCCACAGTTTTGGCTCATCTTTTTCAATAAAATAAAAAGAATGAAAAAATAAGAAAGCATTTCTTCGGCTGTAGCTGTTTTAAGATAATATTTTCACCTAATTTCAACCCTTATTACTGCTCAAAACGTAATAGACGATGATTAAAAAGTGTCAGACACATAATGCTCCTACTTTTCTGCTTCCTCCTATCCTCCCAACCAAAAACAGGTCAAAAACCATCAGAACTATGTTTTGAGAGCCGCTGCTGACAGTTTGCATGGGCAGATTTTGTTTGGTTTATCCATGCGCATATAAATTCGATATTTAACTGAACTAAATGTTCTCAGTCATTGATTACTTTTTGCGCCTAACAACACTTATTAAGTTGGGGAAGTCTTTTTCTCGAATACCATTTAAAGTCTAATATAAAGCAGCAAAAAAAGCAACAACTAAAAACAGTTAAATAAAAAAAAAAATTATTGTAAATTGTGCCACAAAACACCACCACCTCAAATAACGACTGCAAAGAACCACATTTTTGAAAAAATACTACCATAGTAAAGAAGTGGTGATCTAGAAACAAATTTATTCCTTAAACTCCAACGGAACTAAACTGAGCTGAAATAAAAGCTTTTTTTTTCTTTTTATAGCACTCAAAAAAGTAGAGCATTTAGTATTACTGGTTGAGCCCAATTTTCTGAAAAAGTTAGTTTGGCGTAACTAAAGCAAAAACAGAAAGAAAACGAAAAATGAAAGAAAATTACTGCAAGAGGCATCGGCACGACCAGGAATCAGCCAAATATCTTGGTAGTTGCACCGGGATTGTGTGTTCAACGTCGGTCGTACTGCTTCAACGTTTTGCCGGTAACGTATTCGACATGCTGGATCCAGGATATCGCAGTCAAGTTGAGCAGACACAGAATTCCATGTCAAAATCACAAACGGTAGCAACAACGCCGATGCTGCGAACATAGCAGCAGCGGCAGCCATCTAAAACTGGCTCTATCGCTGCTGTCGATGGTTGGCAGACCCCGTCGGGTCGCTTAATATCAAACCTGCGCCTAACAATTTTTCTCATTCATATTTCTATGTTTTCTCTCCATTCCTCTCCAACAACGACTTCACAAATCAATTTTCACTAAAAAAAAATCTAAAACAGAATCTTGTTTAAAAATTGAAAAAGATTTTTTGACAAGTTCCTGCTGTTAAAAAAATATATTGTTCTTTTTACACTTTCAATAAAACTCCTGAATCTTCTTTTTACAGAATCTAGCAATTCAAAAAACTTTTAAGGGTATGAAAAAAAAAAGACAACAATGGCATAGAAGTCAGAGGTGCAAATGTAGAATTGTCAATATATTTTTAAAGATCATATAATACTCACCATTTTATTTGTGATCTTTTTGAGTAGGAAAAAAATAAATTTTGTGACATATTTAACAGCAAACTCAGCATTCAACTTCAAATCATGTTATGGTATTTAAATTCAAATTACTGGTTCGCTTCAATGTGCAAGAAATAAGTTAACTTGTTCCTCCACTAGGGTTTCACAGCACAGCACTGTATAGTTTTCGCTCGCAACAACCAAATTGCTGCCCTTAATACTTGTTCGTCGTTTAAGAAGTATCGAAATAACCATAAGATAACCCATCTCAAGTAGCCCGATACTGATAAAAATGTAAAACTGGTGCTTTACTTATATTACCATCAGACAGTAAAAGCAAATTAGGGAAAATTTTTATTCTCTACTTCAAAAATTAGGAGTTACTTCTACCAAAAATTATCAAGTGAATACATCACTTAATCAACCAATCGAAGGTAATTTTTGAATCTGAGTTGCTAGTTAAAGTATACTAAGTTAACAATGCGATTCAGAGTTTAGAAATTTGAAGCCTCAGAGGATTTATTACCGAAAACCCCTGAAAAACATCTTTAACAGCGTCAGTTGCCTTGTCAAAATTTTATTTTGCAAATGTTCTTCATTTCAAAATTAAACTTTGAAGCGTGAGCAAATAATCACAGTCATTCGTAAATCAAAATTAAACTGGGTTAAAAAGTTCTGGCAATAAACTAAATTTAAATTAGAAGCGAAAAGAAGAAGACACTAATGAATAAAAAAACAGGGTTTACAAAAAAAAGTGCAGGTCTTCGGGTTCTTGAAACAGACTGTTGACTGTTACTGTTCACCTGTATTAAAATACTATTTATTGAGAAAGTCTGCTTTCAGTATTTTACACTGACGACTTCGAACAATTACAACTGCGAAAAAAACGTAAATATTCGTCTATTGATCAGTATGTCGGTGTGCAGCGAGAGACCCTAATATTCAAAACTCAACGAAGCCATTACATCGCCTGTTCTGAATTATATATAATTAAGCTAAAACTTCAACTCTAATCTAAAGTCTAAAATAATTGCTTAATTTCCAAACTAAACACAGAGTCACAGAGTTTCTGTGAATCTTTAACTTTATTACTTCACTGAAAGTGAAAGTTCTTTTACACAGAACCTTTTGTAGTTATAACAAATAGCTCTAAAGAGTACTTCTCAAGTAATTTTTTGGAATAATTCCATTATTATTATTATTATTATTATTATTATTATTATT